CTTTTTCCGTATGCCATAAGAATCTTTTTTTTTTTTTATTCTCATTTCGCATGTGATGCTTGCTTTAGAGCTTAACTAATTTCGATTCATGAAAAGTTTTATTTTAAAAGTAATGCGCTCTATATAAAAGATAATAATTGACATGTAATTTCATATTATAATTTGAAATTATGATCTCGTATTTCAAAATTTTCAAAAAAAAAATTGATCTTCAAATCGTGATTTTAATTTTTTTTAAATGTAGACTTGATCAATAAGTTTGGATTTTATATATATAAAAAAAGACCCATCATTTTTATTTTTTGTAAAATTAATCTATGGTTGGCATGAGATTATTCATACCATATAAAAAGTTATATTAAAGAAAAACTATTTACTATTACTGTTGACAAATGAATCTTCATAAAACTATGTTTACTTGAAAGTTTGTAATCACAAACATTTATTTATAAAAGAAACGTGGAGATATGTCATTTATATATCAGCGTGACGCCTTAGGATATTTTGATATATTGTTTATGAAATATGATTTGTTCATTTGGTAAGATTGTATAAGAATTGATTTTTTTATGGTTTTCACAACTAGTGAGATTTCAATTCTATGAGAGAAAAATACAACTTAATAAATTCAAATTACATGTCCAAACAAAACTTTAACTTCATATTAATCTGATATCATGATTTTATATTACATATCGGGCCCTTAATTTTATTTTTAGAGCTTGAATTTGAAATTTTAGATTAATGATAGAATGATACTAGTTACTCACAAAGGGAGGAAGTCACTAGATTCACATGAACTCATGCTCTTCTTCCGAGATTATATATGTAGTGTTCTATTTTTTAATTAATATTTAAATATATATGTGTGAACTCAAACTCGTAGTATCATATCATGCGATGATGACTGGGTGCACCTCTCTAAGAGATGTTAGAAATCTGAATCTTTTATCTATCTTGTTTTATTTTTCTTTCTAAAATTGGGTAACACCTCCCAAAGTAGTTATTGGAAACACTTTTCGCTATATATATGAGAATTAATGTTGGACTTATAATTTTATAATTTTAATGATATTCAATGATAAGAATCAAAATATCTAACCGATTAAATTTATATCTTAAATTCACATTTTCGTAATAATACACCCATCATCTCAAAATCTTGCCTGCCTATGCATGCCTTTGCTTACTCACCACAATTTTTGATATATAGTTATCATGAGTTAATCGTGTATTGTGAAACTTTTTTATTTTCACATGTATAGTGTTAAATATAAGTGCATCAGCTGAACTAATTCTCTCACAAAATTCTGCAACCACAATCCAAATATCTCTTCTAATTACGATGTTAATTTATTTGTCTAAAAGATGAGAGGGAGTTGCTCGGATGGTAAACACCCCTCACTTCCAACTCGAAGGTTGCGAGTTCGAGTCACCAAGGGAACAAAAGGGGTGGGAGCTCCTAGGGAGGGTAAAAATAAAATAAAATTATTTGTCTAAAAATAGAAAAAACAAATTAAAGGTAACGACGTTAAAATAATATTCATAATTAGGCACCTCGTGATAAGATTATAGAGTCTAATAATATTTGTGCAATATACGTGTAATATATTTATGTCACGACCCAGATCATCGTGATTGACACCACACTAACTCTCCAATGGGAGAACCATTTATACTAATTAGCTAACCAAAGAACCAAACAACTAAGGCATTTAAGTATACGAAAGCAGGTTTAAATGCTAAGGAAAAGATAGGAGTTCCCATAAACTCCAAACAAAAGTCTAACAACTAAACAAATGCGGAAGAAATACGCCTAGAACCTGAAAGTCAATGTACCAAAACATCTAACAAAATCCATAAGTCTAACAAGAAGGGTTACAACCCCAAACTAATGTACTAATAACTAACTAGAAAGTCTAAGTCCGAATTGTGGACATAGACAGAAAGAGAACTCATGGCAGCCCGAAAGAACTGACTCACCCTTGAATTCAAACGAACACTGATCTTCTAAGCGAGGTTTGTCAATAGCCGCCTGAAAATGCCCTGTACTCAACAAAGAAAGAGCAAGTGCAGCATCAGTACACAACCACAGTGTACTGGTAGGATCACACAACTATCCCACTAAGTGCAACATACATAAGTCAAGACAACAATACAATAACATGCATACACTGAACATATACAATATCATCATCTTTTTATGAACAACGAACAATTTCATGATTCGCAAATATCACAGTTACATCAAGTCATTGGTCCTCTCATGGGACCCAATCCCAACCTGTTAGCATACCGAAACGTGGTACCCGATCCAATGATTATGTCGGAACGTGGCAACCGATCTAATAATTATGCCGGAACGTGACAATCGATCCCATAATTATGTCGGAACGTGGCAACCGATTCAAGTTAGTGTGTCGGAACGCAACACCCGATCCATTCAACAAGCCACAATCACAATCACAAAGTACATTCTCATAATCATACAATAAAGTCATGATTCGTGGCATTCATCATTCATTTATCCTCATTTACAATTAATGTGATCAATAGTGCAATATTCACATATATATATATATATGTATCATAATGAAGCAAAAACAAACATACATTACACAATCATAGAATCACAACCATCACATACCTCGAAACAAGCTTAAAACCCCTAAGAAAATTGGATCTTCTTTTTCCGGATTCGTTCCGCTTGTTCTTGGTCTACAAACAATCATAATAACACGGAAATCAATAAACAATCACTAATTACCCGAATTACTAACAATTCTATCAACTCTAGATCATACCCATGATCATCATAGCCAAATTAGGGCTTTTTCCACCATAATTCTCATATCAAAACTCTTTCCCATCGATAATTACCCATTAGATTACGTTCTACGGATCGAAAAATGGATTTGGGGAGTTAAAATCTTACCTTTAGCCTCAAGAATGGTGGAAAATGTTAAGAAAAGTAGAAAAAAACGATTTTAGGGTTTATTTTCGACTTTAAGTCGCGTCTACCCCGCCACAGCGGGACTCACCCGGCTACAACGGCCCCGCCCTGGTGGTAGAAATCCCTCCTCAGCGGCTTGCACAGAACTAGTGAGCAAAATTAATAATTCCAAGACCCCATTTCACAACACACATTCAACCAACGACACTTAGAAACTACCCGTTCACGCCAAGATCAATTCCGGGAGTTCTACTCGCCCGAATTCAATTTTGTAAAGTCGTATAGGTTCCTTAACGACTTATCTATCAACTCATGTGATCAAATTCATAATTAGATCACCCAATTGCTACCAGATTTCCCTAGACTTTAATGACTCCGATTTCGTCCAAATCTGGATTAGATTGGGAAATCTCAAGATATTACGAAAAAGTTTTTCGGCACAAAAAATTTTCCCGTTGACTTTTCTATAACGATTGGAATAAGTCGTTACAGTTTATTATAATGAAAAACCATGCATATGTTTAATTAACCATTTTTTAATTATTATTTTTTTCATAGATATTTGATAAAGTTTAATTACTCCCACTTGAATTATATTCTCTTGTAGTATAACGGCTCTTAAATGATTTATAAAGGTTTTTGGTTAATTGCTCAGATTCTTATACATGAGGGGACATTGAGTTATAGTATTAACTGATAGAGTCAATTGGTTTTGTAGAATCTTTTATAATATATTTATTTTGAGTTTAAATATTTTTTATAAGACTTTTATATTATAAAAAAGACGCGGAAACAATTTTTAAAAAGATAAGCTAGACTAAGGGGAAATGAGAGAGGAGATTACGAGATGGAAAATTGAATTCTCACAAATAAGATAAAAGTTTGGGGAGCTAACCTACTGAGCTACTAAAATTCATCTAATATATAGTATGAAATAAAATATATTATTATTATTATGGAAAAAGTCAAAAATACCTTTAAACTACGTGAAATAAATAAAAATGTCATTCATTTATAGTTCGATTAAAAAATATCCTTATTGTTACTTAATGGATCAAGAATGCATTTTTACAAATAAATATATTATTTTATTTTCTTTGAACACATTCTTTTCCTAATAATATTTATTTTAGCAAATGTTTAATCTACTTTAATTGGAAAAAAATAAAAAACTTTTTATTTTATTATAATTATTTTTTATCACTATCTAAATGAAAATTAATGATGAGTTTACTATGATCTTATATATATATATGATTTATATTATCCGTTAAAGGGGTAAATTAAGTTATTCTATTTTAATTGATAAAACAATATCAAGAAGAAGAATATTATTTCCTATATTTATATTAGTTAAGTGATTTTAAAAGAAAGAAAATAAGAATCAGGTTCATTAAAAGTAATATTCTCGTTGGGAACAAAATGTGTTTAAAAGGAGAAAAAACATTTATTCGAAAAAAAATATATTTTTTAATCCATTTAATAATGGGATAAGAGTCTGAAAAATACCCCAATTTTGGTCGGATTTGCTGTTGCGATACTAAACTTACATAAGGACCTATTACCTCCCTAGACTATTTAATACCGTATTTTTTACCCCTGAACTATTTAATAGTGTATTTTAAAGGTATATATGTGCCCACGTGGACACATTATTATTTATAATTTTGCATTATTTTGTATGTCCACGTAGGCAAATATATATGTTTAAAATATGGTATTAAATAATCTAGGGAGGTAATAGATACTCATGAAAATTTAGTATCGCAACAACAAATCCGATCAAAGTTGAAATATTTTTCAGACCCTTATCCCTTTAATAATCATACATTTTTAGATCAAGCAATTATCAACAATGATATTTTTGAACTAAAGTATTGAAGCTTAGGATATTTTTAGACAAAATAATTTAATAGTAGCATTTTAACCATATATAATTACTTTTTTTTTTTAATTTTTTGGATTCTTTCTGCAAATTAACATGCATGTAGAGTCTATATATATATGTCTCATTGGACCATCTCCTTAAAACTCAAAGTCTCTCAACAAAACTCACCAGACCTCAAAATAACTCCTCTCTCTCTTTATATTTATTTTGTTGATATTTGTAATGGAGAGAGTAAGCAAAATGGTAACTGAAAAGCCAGTTGTGATATTCAGCAAGACTGGTTGCTGCATGAGCTACTCCATAAAGTCTTTCTTCTCCGATCTCGGCGTTAACACCACCGTTTACGAGCTCGATGAGATGCAAAGAGCTGGCCGTGAGATCGAGGCCGTGCTTTCGAATCTCGGCTGCAATCCCACGGTGCCGGCGGTGTTCATCGGCGGCCAAATGGTCGGTGGAGAAAGTGAAGTCATGAGTCTTCATTTACAAGGGGCCTTGAAGCCTAAACTCAAAACCGCTGGTGCTTTATGGGTTTAATTATAAATAATCGAAATGATAATGGTCTCCTTTTTTTTTAATAATAATATATGGACTATTATGAAGTGATGAGTACTCCTTCGTTATCATATTTTATCTCCAACGTAAAACTTTCAAAAGGAAGACAATATATACAGAGTACTGGAGTACTCTTTATAGCAAGAAAAAGGGAAAAAAGAAGTAAAATTATGTGTGTAAGAATTTTACTTACATGCACTACTAACGATGTGAAAAATTGTTGTATCAATTGTCTATTATTTTATTGTAATTTCCGTTAAGCATTTACTTGCTTTTTGTGTTTCTATGTGGAAATTGGGTTGGTGTTCAAAAATAATATTTGACTAACTTTTAAATCAATATAAATATACTCTTAGGGTCAGTTTGGAAAGCCACTTGGTAATTGGAATTGGTGTAATTACTTGTGTAGTAATTATCAGCCTAGTAATTACACTGTCTAGTAATTACACTGATCTGTTTGGTTGCCACAGTGTAATTACACTGTAATTACACATGTCTTGTTTGGATGCCACAGTGTAATTACATATGTTCTGTTTGGATGCACAATTACAATTATAAAATTATAATAAATTTTAAAAAATAAAAATTTATTATTTAAAATTTATACTAGACAAATAAGAAACTTTATAAATGACATTAAATGAAATATTTAAGATATATATTCTTGTTTGAAAATATATTGATTAATAAACATATTTTCTGTAACTACTATTATGAAAAAATAATTGATTTATATTTTTTCAAATTAATATATTTCAATTGAATTGATCGTAACAACTAAAAGTATAAAGTTTCTACGAATATCGTAAAATGCATGTTTGATTAAAAGAATAATATATAAATAAAATGTCATATATTATTAAATGTTTGACAAAAATATAATCTATCAAGTCTAATTAAAAAATGGCGTGCAATGTAAATTCAATATTACTAAAATAAATGAAACTAAAAATACTACATAAGTTATAAATTCAAAACAAAAAATTTAACATAATACTCTTATAATAAATTTCAACATAGCAATAATTATGATTTATTTTTATTTTTTCTTAATAAAGAAAACGTAAGTCTATAACCTTACTTAACAATAAATTCTATTTTAATTTAAAAATTAGAATACTAATAAAATTATGCTAATGAGAAAATAAGCATGGCATAAAGAAATTAATAATATGAGAAAATTACATAGAATCATGTAAAGTAAGGTTGAGAGCAAGAAGAAAATGAAATATAATTATATAAAATAAAAAATAAACTTTTACAAATTTTTAGAATAATAAAAATAAAAAAAGAACTTAAAATAATATAAGTAAAAAAAATTAAAACAAAAAAATAAAAATAGAAATTAAAAAAATAAATTAAAAAAGTAATCAGGTGGTAATTACACCATGTAATTACCAACAATTCACAGTCTCTGCCTGTGAATTGTAGAGTGTAATTACCTCCTGCCAATTACACCAATTACTTGCTGACCAAGTAATTACATCTCCTTCCAAACAAGACAAGACAATGTAATTACACCAATTACACTAAATTCAATTACCAAGGTGTCCTTCCAAACATGCCCTTAGTCTTGACAATTACGTTAATCAAAGAAAATTTTGTCACCACAAATACAAATATCAGTGAACGATGAAATATTGAAACTTTATTTTGTAGTTAAATTCTGTGAACTTTAGCCACTATTTATAAGTACTTATATTTATCATATGGACACTTCTTTTCTTTTTTTGATTTTATCATATGGACACACCATTATATAAAGATTACTAATTTTATTGAATTAACACTACGAGTTGGAGCAACTTCAGAAAAGCTTTCAACTAGCATGTCACGCTAGACTCGAGTTATTCACACTCATATTTAAAGGGTCTTTCAATTTTTTTTATCAAGAGATTGACTATAAATTATTTATGAGGTTATTTTCTTCTTAACTAGAGGTTTCGATTTTGAGTCCTAATATGAAATAATTTTTTTTGATTGAGAGCACTTTCTTTGAATAAGTCTTATATTATGCGAATTTAAATTAATTAAATTTCAGTGTGAATATTGAACACCATTAGGTGAGAAAATAAAAAATAAAAAAGATGTTTATACAGTGCTTTGCCCAACCCATTCAAAAGGGGAAAAAAAAATTCAATTGTTTTGGGTTTGTATGACATTTTTTGAGTTTTTCATTTTAATCGGTTCTAAAAAATATTATATTTTTATTTTTCTAGTAATTTAAGTTTTTTCTCTTAAAAAACAATTATAATTTATTTTAAACTATAAATTCTTACCCAACCAAATAACATTATATAGGAAAATAAGAAATTGGGTGCTGGTTATATAGAAAATGATCAAAATGGTCATTGATAGGGCTGGGCATTCGATAATTCATTTTTTTTCGATCTTTGATTCTTGTAATACGTGTACCGAACACCGAATCAAAATAATTCGATTCGGTTTTTCTTGAAAACAAAAAATAATCACAATATAAGTTATCTACTGGAGTGCTGGTCGCCGCCTTGCCGGTCGGTTGCTGCTGATCGGTTGCTTTTGGATTCTGGTCGCGGCGGTTGGCGCCGAAAAGTGGGAAGTGGGAAAGCGGTCGGTTGGATGTTGGCGATGGGAGACGGAGGAGTAAGGAGTTTGAACTTCGGAAAGTGTAGTGTGCGGGATGAAAAATTGAAAATCGAAAACTGAAAATTTTGAAAAGTGTGCGGCGATGAAAAGTGAAAACATAAAAAATTTGAAAAGTCTTGACCTAATTTACATTTTTCCTATAATATTTAATATTAAGAATTAATATAATAATTTCGGTTAAACCGAAATACCGATAAAACAAAAATTACATACCGAAAATTGAAATACCAAAAAAATTTGATTCGATTCGGTGTTTCGGTAATTATGCCCAGCCCTAGTCCTTGATGTATTGGGGTTTCTTTATTTTGGTCTGAAATATATTTTAGGTGATTCAAATAGTTCTCCATGAATGACAAAATGTATTCAATTTAGTCTTTTATTATAAACTTAACAATTTACCCCAATAACTATTAAATATAATTGTGGGGCCCACATAACTTACAAAAATCCACCATTTTTATTAGCTCAAAAAAAGAGTTTTATAAATTCTAAAACACTATTTTTTCTAACATCTAACCACACAATTATAAAATAATTTTTATAAAAAGATTGAATGAAATGGATCGTCAAGAATTTGATCCGTCAAATAAAACTGGATTAAAATAAATAACCCGACTTGAAATTGTGTCTCTCTTATGGACTCCAGATTTAAGGAAATTGCCACTGCCGTTGCCCGGCAATCATGTCCGATATGCCTCTGCCAGCTACACCATCGGAGCGCGGCGGTTGTTATCCCATGTATGCACGCCTATTGCATCGTCTGCATCCGCAGATGGAGCGATGTGAAGAGAAAATGCCCTCTCTGCAACGCCGACTTTGATTCATGGTTCTCCAGAATCAGCTTCTCCTCCCGGACCTTCCAGAAAGAGAAATTATCAGCTCGTAACGAGACTAAGAAGTTACCCTCAGGTTTTGTCCCCTCTAGGCTGGGAGACCGATTGGCGGACCGAAGGTTAGTTTTTTTTGTACTCAAATTAACTATCAGTTTTAGCTAATTACCGAAATCTTACTACTAACTTTTAGTGTTGAAGTACAATTGATTTGAAATATCCCTAAATTGCTCCGAATTATCCCCATTGAGTTTGTGATTTTTATGTTGGACAGAGCGATTAGGAGAAGGAGAGAAGAGTTGAATACTTTTGGCTCCAGAACGAGGCCGTTCCCAAGGCGGCGATCCTTTGATCACAATGGAGCTTTAAATCCAGATGATATTACTAGGAGAATCATTCTCTGGCGTTCCAGGTACAAATACCTACTAATTATTTGTAATTTCTCCTTAATCGCCGCGGTTTTATGCTATTCCATTTATATATCTATATGTGTCTGAATTTGGTATCGAAAATCCTAATAGATGATATTTATTTGACCTGGAATTGTATACTTTGTTGCAGCATTTATGAAGAGAGATTGCAGGCTGTTCCCTTTTCATCTAAAAATTGCCTCATGCAGGTAATGCTTAGCCCAATGGAAATATCCAATTCACTAAATAAGGCTATTGTTATATCTACTATCTTCATAATAAGAACCAGATGGCTAGAAGTTGTCAGTCTTAATTGATTCTGTTTGAGATGACTAAATTTGGTTCTAATCTTTACTGTGTTTTAATTTATAGCACATGGATAATAGGAGTACCAGAGAAAAGATGTTACAGAGAATAGAACTTTGGATAAGAAGGGAGCTGCAGGCTATACTGGGGGATCCAGATCCATCCATTATTGTCCATGTTGCTACCTCACTTTTTATCACTGAGAATACACATTCAACACAGAGGTGCGACAGAAATGATTTTCTTGCTCCATTGCGGCCCTTCTTGCATGAACGTGCAGAAGTGTTTTGGCATGAACTAAGGTATCTCTCATTCTACTTCATTGAGTCTTTACTTTAACACACGAAGGTATATTTTACTTATAATTTTATTACATTAAGCAGAGGCGGATTAATTTCAGATTTTTTTATAATGGTGATGTGGGACCTAGCTTGAGCACAATCCGACTATTACACTGGATACTTGCTACCCACAACTCGCACATGTACATACCCATCAATGTTTAGGCACATGCGAAGTGATCAGCGTTTTATGTATTTGCTGAGATTTGAATCCTGGTCTCCAGGATTTGCATCCACCTCATTAATCACTGACATACCCTTTTCGGGGTAAACCCACATTAGACTTTGAATTGTTGTTTTTCTTTGTGCGCTAGATTTATAGCTGTGAGAACCAATTCTGTCAACTGTCTTAGGAAATGTTTATGAACATTGAAGACAGTGGATTATGTCTGCGAATTTCCACCTTTGAATACTGAGATGGCATCCATGAACTAATTTGTATAGTTCACTTATTGCCACCACAGGCAGGAGGCTTAGGATATAATATAATTGGCTAATAGAAAGTTGTCTGACCTGCTGGCGTTAAGCTCGTCGCATTGAATTCATCTCCTAGACAGAAAGGGAGATAATTCATCAAGGTTTATCTGTCAATTTTTTTCACTAGAACTTTTATGGGCAAGCAAGCGCTCTAAATAAGTCAGTCCAGGTTAGATACCGGCAGTGCCATATTTACCAACGATCTATCTGGAATTAGAAACTGCTATCCTGGTTTGAAGTTTGAACTAACTGCCGGAGCTGCAATTGTAACAGTAGTAGAACAGGAAAAGTGAAATAGATATTCTTTTGAAATGATGTCCGCTATTTTCTAAGCTGCTCTTTTTGTAGCTATTTTCAACTAATGTTCTTGTTCCTGTTGTTTTATTTTGCCTTTTGGTTTCATTCTTCTTTTTTAAGTAATATTTTGTTGTTTTATTTTGTTTTTCCACCTTTTGGTTTCATTCTTTTTTTAAAAAATAAATAAATTTGTATGTATAAAATTTTAGTCTCTTTCTGCCCCTCGATCTCTCTCTTTAAAGCATTGCTGTTCATACCACATTCTTTTTTTTTTGGTAAAGCATACCACATTCTTTGACCTAAAATAATGTTTCATTGTAGGTGCTTTGCCGAGAGCCCTTTGTCTATGCAAACATATGATACTGTGGTGGAGTACTACTCCTTGGACTAATTCACTAGTACCAATCATCAATGCGTTGGCTACACTCCTGGGGGTAACAATATATTGAGAGGGATAAGATAGGGTTGTGATCCAGCGTAGTCATCTGATCATATGGCTATAAGGATGTTGGAATCTGAATTCTTGCGGCAAATGGAAGAGCAAGCCCCCAGTTTTTCTTCCTCAATAGCCAGTTAAGATTAGTTGAAGAGCCCACACTATGCACTGTTCCTTATGGATGAAGTCTTGTTGCCTTGGCTTTGTCTAGGCAGGGATAAGCATATTTGTTGTGCATATTCATTGACCTTTTTTGTGAAGTCCAAGACACAGGAGAAGATGACTACTTGTGATTAGTAATCCATTTGTAGGAGAGGCTGGAGAGATCTAGAATGCTTAAATTATATTTCTGCAGTGGTTAATCAAAGCGTGACAGAAGTTCCTGAGGAGTTAGCATTTGGTAGACGATGTGCTAGCGACCTGTTTGAGCTCAATAAGACACTGTTTGAAAAGTATGATTCGACAGTCGTGGACCTAGTTTTTCCAGTTATATCCTCTGTGAAGTCCGCATTTTGAAGAAGAAGAACCTTGTGTTGATAGTTTGCGAAGTGGATGATAAGCCTTTCAAATAGAAACTGTACAGGGTTGCGAATCTCTTGTGTGAAATGCACATCGTTGGAAAGGTGTTAACTGCGCTGTGTCATGTACAAAAATTAGATGGTACACATGTTTCGATATTAAATTATGTCGTGAAGATATGCGTGACTCTGGAAAAACTTAACGTTCTACATAGGACCAAAAGTTTATGCATGCATAAAGAGAAAAACTCATTGCAATCCCAAATATAAACAAAAAATTATGTATGTTTGCCAGTCACCAAACGTGACATTTTCCATTAATATAACTGTCTAAATATATATTTTTAGCTCTTATGAGGCTTCTTGTTTTTCTTATTCTCATTCAATAACTTCAGAATTTCGTACTTAATCTGAAATCTTATGTGTTGCTGCAAAAGTTGATATGATTTTTATATAAATAATAATACATCAGTTTGGTTTTTCAATATTAAATTTCTCATGAGCAATGCAGAGCACAATATCGTAAATTAAAGTTGTTGATATCATAGACGACTCCACCAAAGTGTTACGTATAGTTATCCTCTGATCGTTTAATTTCCTAAAGATTTACGAGTTCAAACTTTGAAAACAAAAGAAATTCTATTTTTCTTTTATGTTGTGGAATTTAAATTAGATGGGTATATAATCAATTTGAAGTTTCAAAATGAGTATCTAATTAGTAAGCAACCAGAAGAGGAGTCCTTGCAATTTGATTTATAGTCTGTTTGAATTGTCTTATTAAAATAATTTTTATAATGTTTGAATAAAAAATAAGTTAAATGTTATAAATTCATTAGTATTTTTTAAGTTTGTAGTGAATAATAAAATGAATATGGGGTGTGGGTTTAATTGCAATCGTGATAGTTGTTATTGGAAACCCGGGATAAACCCTACGACTGGTGACCCTCCTGGATCTGCACCCAAACGGTATGGTCGTTTCTCATTTTTATCGATTTTGATTTGATTGCTCAGAACGAAGCAGAGGGTTTTGGGTTCCTTACTTTCATATGCCAATAGTTTTGCTGATGTAGTTTCTATGGTGCTTTCCAAGTAGTATTCTAGTTCCATGGGGAAGATAATTAGATCGAGATTGGAGACTGATCCTTTATCCAGGGCGATTTAGTTATCAGCTTTTCTACTATATTATTTATTACTTACTATTATCTGCAAAAGCTGGAACTGTAAAATTTCAATTAGAATTTTCTTGAATTCAATGTGTTTATAGAAAACACACACATTCTGAATGCATAAGTTTGTTAGGTTAGGTTAATTTGGTTCAACTGATTGTTCAGACTAAGGATTGAAGTGGATCCTTGGTGTAACTGGTAAAGTTGCTGCCACGTGAAATGATGAGAAGGTCACAAGTTCGAGCTGTGAAAATAGTTTTTTGCTGTGATGCAGGGTAAAGGTGTGTGTACAATAGACCCTTGTGGTCCAGCTCTTTCTTGGATCCGCACTTAGTGGGGGCTTAGTGCACTGGGCTTCCCTTTCATATTTAGAGGAGGATGTAAGGATTGTGAGTTAGATAGAAATTCTAATGGCTTATGATTTTGTTGGACTTCCAATGAAGCATATGGAGCAAGCTCTTGAAGATAATATGTTCTTAAGGATGATTGAACTCTTTCAGTTAGTACCTATAATATAATCAAATTTTTTTTCAGGAGTTAGTCTAGGGTATTTCTTTTGGATTGTTTTTCATTTTATTTTCTATGTAGAGATAAGTCCTGGCTTCATCTGTTATCGTGCAATATCCATGAATTTGAGCCCTCTACTTAGCTTTAGACGCCACTTTTTGTACCACAGATTAGTGTTTACTTGTTATGATGCAATTCTTTTACGGCTTCTGCTTCCAGGAGAGAAAGATCTTAGTATGTTGAAACATTGTTACAAAAGTTTACTTGTGGTCATTCTCTAGATAGATGGTTATCTTATTTGCCTCTACATGGCATAATACAAATCATGTTTGCTATTTTTCTTCTCCAAGAAAAAAAAGGTTTAAATGTGTTAAAGAGCAGTATGTACCTCCTAGCTAGTGTAACAGTATATTTTATTGTATTTGATAATCTTAATTCTTATTGCTCCGAGTAACTGAGGACTGTTTGTGTTTGCTGCAGCCACGTTGTACATGTCACAGGGGTTGGTTCTCCATTGAGACTATTTTCAAGTTTTGACTTACAGGACCAACGATGGCGACTCAGGAGAAGAGTGAAGTGATTCAACCACCAACTGCAGTAGACAAGCAATTAGAAAGTTACTCATACACTAATTGGGCAGGGAAGATACAAGAACAGTACCAGAAAGTCAAAGAGAATGCAGAAACCTACCCCTATGTTTGGGGTTCATATACTGTTGTATACGGGGGATTTGGGCTCTGGTTTGCCTATAGATGGCGAAGGCTCCGCAAAACAGAAGACCGAGTCAGAGTCCTTCAAGACAGACTTCGCAAACTTGTGCAAGCTGAAGAGTCGACAAGTTCATCTATAACCAAAGCACCCTCATCTTGTGATAAATCAACAAAATAGTTTGTGTTTCTCTTTTCATTGAAGTTGTGTTTTTATGCATTTTGCTGAAAAAGTGAGTTACCAATGACTGCAGTTGGTCACAAAAATTATCCGGCTTGATGGAGAAAATGCCCCTTGGTTAACAACATAATATACTGCAGTTTGCATTTGTATTTTGTTTGACACATTCTTTGTGAAAATCCCCTTGTGTACAACATACTTAATAGAGTATACTGTTTTTGGTAAAACTAAACTATCTTTTGCACCAAATAATTTACTGTCGTATATTCTTTCAAGAATTTATCTGCACAGTCTGACGTGGATGTTTTTAAAAGATAGTTTGGTATCTTTTACATATCTTTAGTTTTATCGACAGGATTCAAAAATCTTTCACTTTCTTAAATTTCGTTTAAGTTAAAATGAGACAAACAAACTGAAACGGAAAAAATATTATGATTTTGTTTGAAAGAGGTTGACATGGCGGAAAGCGTGGATATACTCTCTTTTAAATGCGAGCTTAAACCTGACATTTTTTTCAACTGTTAATTGCCACATAATAATATGCAATAATTTTTTTGTTCCAAATTGTGTATTTCTTCTTACTTCTCTCATCTTAACTAATATACACAACATATTTTACCTCAATTTTGGTTTTAGCTGCAATGGTTATTTGTTCAAGTAAAAACAGTGTATTTCTTCTTTTCCGGTCCAAAGCTATAAAACAAACATGACTAAAATTTCATTATTTTCAGCCACATAAATGTTAGCCAAGACTTATCACAGAGAAAGCATTTTTGGTCCAGTCCAAAGTATCTTTTCTTATTTCATTTTTAGATGCAATGATGATTTATTTCATCTGGTGCAATTATCAAACTAAACTCACAAAAAGGAAAATTTGGTGAAACTCCCTCGTGTATCCAAATAAAAAACATCAGCTTACTTTATTTTACAAATTTGTCCCAAAAAATAATTTTAAAATAGTTCAACTATATGTTGGCCAAATGACTTTGTACTAACATGGGTAGGAAAGCAACATTCTCATGTACATGTGAGAAAGAGATACGCTCAAATATACACCATTGAATAATATTGATCATGCTTCAATCTTGCATCAAGATTGATAAAACCAAACACTGAATCATACTAAAGCAACAATAACCAATAGTCTATGTATAATACTATGTGCCTAACTGAGCACTTTTTACTATATTAACTACATATCATTGAATGTGCTAGTACATTTTTTCTCTACTTTGACATAGACCAATAGTAGTTAACACTATTCTTCAACCAAAATATTCAGCGCGGACCCATGTCGCAACCTAAATGACCTGCAGGTTATATCTTGTTGTTCTGCTCACGTAGTCAAGTCCTATAAGATCAACAAATTCTCTGCATAAATAATCAGTATTTTTGTAAATTAGAAAGAACAAAGATCTTTTGCCTAGCAAGAGAATAACATGCAAGTATGAACTTATTTAACTTTAAGACATGCAAATATTCCTGAGAAATTAAATCTTACAACACCTTTTATTACTAGTATTTCAGAGCATGAACAGTGGTCAAACAACATTTTGAAGATAGAAGGGAAGTTATTTTTATAGAAATACACTTTATATATGCAGCAAAAACATACAAGTCATGGTCCCAAAAAAAAAAAACAATCTATGAAGGATGACATTCAGATTTAGTACCTGAGTATGAGCCAACACACAAATGACACAAGCATAAAAACGCACTCTGGTTATCTCTTTTACCTTCATCAGTCTCATATTTCTTGGACTATTTCGTAAATGCCGCCTTCTTGCACTTGCTCCAGTTATTGAAGCACCTCTTCACTGAGATGATGAGCCCAAAGTGTTTGAATGAAGGCAGGTTTCATCCTGACTTTCATCAGGATCAGGTACAGGGTCTGGATCGGTCGATATGATGAACGGGAAAATCCCTTCGTTCTACAGACGTCTTCAACAGTTTTATTTTCCCTCTATCTAGTGTGGGGCAAGGATAAAAATGAGAAAGAAGCACATTAATTTATCGATTTTCACATGTTCTTCATTATATATATATTTTTTTCTTACATGTAAGGTGGGTATAATCCTTAAGTTGTACCCTGTTCCTCAATGAAAGAAATGATAAATCTTAAAATTCTTGTTCATACCAGAATGTGAATTGATGACCAAGAAGAGAAAAAGGAACAGCAAAAACTTTACAAGTACCTCATGTCTCTAAAGAATAGGGGATGGTTGGTTCCTGACATTCTCTGTACATGGAATGTCATATTTTGCCATACTTGTACACTGTAATAAATCTCCAATACGAAAATATAATAAATCTCCAGAAATCAGTGCAAAAAGAAGGAAAAAGGGGAAAAAAACTTACCAGACTTGACGAACCATGTTGTGCAGACTCTCCAAAATAGTTGTTGCGCGCATGTCAGATCTTCTAAAAGTGCAAAATACCTGTTCACCCTCCTCTCTGCCAGAAATAATAAAAATTGTAAAGTAATAGTATAAGAATTTAAGCAATGTCACTAAATAACAAAGTCAGATCGAAAAATAAAATGGTGACAGTAAAACGATACCATCAAGGATGTCCAATTAAAATCATACAAGGACTCCGTCTGCTAAA